CCATCTGTCAGTGGACAGTGTTGTCCACCAACTAGTGAATTACAATCAACAAAATAAATCAAAATAAAGGAATAATGTTAGGAGGACTAGTAGCTGACGATGGTCTTGTTATAGCGACTAATAATGTGTACATATTTAATGTGACACATAATACAATAGTAAGTTATTATTAGTATTAATGTACAATACATTATCACATCAGCTTTTTTGTGCGATGTATTATGATTAAAAATTAATGGATGTATTGAAAATTAACAAACTTTTGAAAAAAGCTTTGAAATTATAAATTTTTTTTATACAGTCGTAGTCTTTCTAGCTTTGACATAATATACATGTAAATTAATCTAAGGCCACATTTACACTAATTCTTTTTTTATCAGAAATTGGAGAGTTTTAGTTTTGGAATTTAGATATGGGTTTTGTTAGCTCAAAATCACTTGTTTTACCTTATAAGGTATTATGTTTATTCTTTGTATTTAGCATTGGGAGAGTATTAAAAAAGGATCAATATCTGGTGAGGGACTCTGGACTAAGGAGAGATATACTCATGCTAGTGCTATTATCAATGGTGACTCTACCTCACCTGCACTAGTAGTGATTGGGGGACGGGATAATAACAGTCAAGTAGTGAATGAATGTTTGTTATTTGATGATTTTACTACTGGTCAGTTCAGTTGTAAGAAGGTATGTGTACATGTACATGTGTATGTACATGTATATGCATACATGTAAATATGAAATACATGTACAGGTTTCTGCCTAAAAATAAATTATAGGTGGTTGGAGACTAATATTGTTCCTTTTATATTTATTACACTACACTAGTAGACTACAATATCATGCTTTAGGCATGGTTACTAATATTAATTGCATAGTAGGTCTAAGTATGATGAACTGGTTGGTTCATTTGTTGAGGTGGTTGTCCCGACCACCTCTGACCACCATAGGCAGAACTATGCATGTACACATGTACATGTATATCAGTATTATTTCTCATTGTCTACAGATTCCTCTACCTGAATCTGTTACTGGTAGATACTATCACTCACTCACAGCAGTCACAATGTCTCCACACTGTGCGTGGCTAGTAATTGTTGGAGGATATGAAGAGTTTGAATGGAAAGATGTTGGAGGAGGAGTGGAGGAGCCAACGAGTACACTTATCACTGATACTAATAGACTAACAATGATAATTGAATTAGGTAAAATAATAATAATAATTGAAATCACATTATAATGAGGATTGTTACAGACTTCTTTTTAATTTAATATTCTCCTTATTTCAGTGTATATTGAAGCTGGTGAGTGGATAGTGCAGTCAGTACTGGATGGTAATGATCTCACTAGTAAGAAATATCAAGAAAAGTATTCAACATACAGCAAGACCAGAACATGGTGGATGGATCAGCTAATAGAATATCCCACAAAGAAGGAAATGAAGCTTCAGAGATACATCCAGTCTTTACATCAAGAACTACAAGTGGCTCATCAGAACAAAGTATCACTACAGGAGGCACTGACTGAGGCCAATAAACAAGGTACATGTACATGTATATGTGTAATGTAATGTAATGTATAGCTATAGAAATTTGGAGTGTATGATTTTGGCCGAATGATTTTCATAAAAATTTTTCAACACCCTTTAAATATTTTTTAAAATGCAATTCACTATTATAGCCCATGGTTTTTTTTCAAAAAAATGCCTCTGGACTCACCCCCAACTTTATTACATATTTTATGCATATTGATATCCTTATGCTATATAGAAAGTTTGAGGTGATTCTGACTTGAATTTTTAAGAATTTTACCAAAATCTTAAATTTTATGCTACCACAATCACCCATTGATGAATGGAGCTAGATTTACTGAAATACATTGTACATAAGCATACAATGTACATGCTTGTTGCTGCATCAAATTTTCTAGCTACATGTACGTGTACGTATACATGTACATGTACATGTACACATTATACACATTATGTTTATACACATTATGCATGTACATTGTACATGTATGATTATTCTTGTTATCTTTTCAGCTAACTTTGACAAAATTGAAACTGTAAAGAGTGAGAAATTGGAAGAGGTGTTAAAAGCACAGGCACAGTTACAAGAAGAGAAACAGATTATTACTGGTTAGTGTATCATCAGTACATAATTTTAGATGATTCTATTAATGTAGAAGATTATGAGAAACTGAAAGTTAAAGTTGCTGATTATGAAATATATATAACTGAAATAGAAGAAGAGAAGAAACAAGTAGAGGAAGAGAAGGAAAAATTAGAGGAAAAATATCTCCAGGAGAAACAGATCACTAAAGGTTAGAGTGTTGTCATCAATGTGTATATTATATGAGAGAATATTTAGAATTGAAAAGTGAAGTTGCTGATAATGAATTGTATACTGCCAAACTAATGAAGGAGAGGGAGCAATGGAGTCAAATGAAAGAGACTAGTACCATTGGATTACAATTTAACTACCTGATCCCTTCAATGGGTAAGAGTATTATTGACTGACTGAGTGACTGTACTTTATACAATTGATAGATAATTTGGATTGTCTGAGTGATGTCCAGGTAGCAGAGCAGAAGCTGTTCTTAATTCAAGGAGACAAACCTCAACTGATGAA